AAAAATAAACCTGGAAAATTCTCTTTCACCTGCAAGTGTGTTCAGCCATTCCCTTTTCTACTACAAATGGACTCTTTCACTTGTGAATAGACCTTTTTTTTCGTACCAGGGATCAAACTCGGGTCCTTGCGCTTGCACAACAGGCGGCGAAACCACTGAGCTAAATCCCAGGCCCCTAGACCATTTTTTTTCACCTGTAAACAGACCTTTCCCTATGAATGTGCCATTATTGGTCTATGGGTAGGCCACCCTTTTCCCAAGACTCAAGATGAAACTTCCAATAGATTCAAATTCTACAGATTTCCACCACCAAATACACATTAATATTCCCAACTCCAGAACGTACCAAGACCCTTTCTCGGAGAGCCTGCACTATATTTCTCTGAGTGTTTCCTCTTAAATTTCTGCCTAATAAATCCCTTGATATCTCTTCTAAAACATACTATAAGTCTTGGACTGGGGGTGTTGCTCAGTGGTAGAACACTTGTGCAAGGTCCTGGTTTCAAATGCCAGCACTAAAAACAAAAAACAAAAAAATCCACCTAAATCTATGCTCTACATGTTGGTACCCTCCTTCCTTTTCGTGGTGGTAATGAGGACTGAACCCAGGGCCTTTGCAACGAGCTGTATCCCCAGCCCTTTTTTTTTACATTTACATTGATAGAAGATTTTGATAAGTTGCCAAATTGCCCAAGCCTGGCTGAACTTGTGATCCTCCTGCTTTAGTCTCTAGAGTGCTGGGATTACAGATGTGTGCTACCTATCGTGCCCCACTTCTGGTATTCTTTTTTTTTTGTACTGGTTATCGAACTCAGGACCTTGTGCTTGCAAGGCATGCACAGTGCCACTGAGCTAAACCCCTGGCCCTGGTATTCTTAATAAATCACAATTAGATATGATCTTACCCAAGGATGGAGAAACCTCTGTGTGTGCATGTGTACATGTGCATGTATTGCTAGGGACCAACCACAGGGCTTTGAGAATGCTAAGAACTCACTCTTAACCACTGCGTTACATCCCCAGCCTGAGAAACCATTTTTAATCAGGCAATAACTAATCATATGAACATATAACTGTCAGGCTTGACCTGGTTGTGAAACAGTTAATGAATATGCTCTTTAATTCCAAGCTGCAATTTGACAAGATGGACAAAAAAACCCCACAACAAAACAGGTAACTGATGCAGGTGCTCTCTCTGTCTGACAAAAGCCATGCTATCTCGGACACAGAACACAGGATGGGATGTTCCCAACACAGAGATAACAACTACAAAGTACAGCATCTTTTCAATGTCAAGTCACCTGAAAATATTCACACACCTGCCTTGATTGCTGCATGGACCCCAACCACAAATATTTGATCTGACCCCTAAATGTGATAGACATGCCAGACCTCTTCCAATGCCCTATAAAGCTTTCTGCTTTTTCTTTGTTCAGGGCTGGTAGCCTCTTGCTTGCCAGCAGTCCACCTCTGCCCAGGTAAATAAAGTCTGTACCTCTTTGCCTTTACTAACCTGTTCTGGTGGTCTCATCCTTCCACGCCGTTTGTTACCGTAACTAGTTTTCTTTCTTTCTTTCTTTCTTTCTTTCTTTCTTTCTTTCTTTCTTTCTTTCTTTCTTTCTTTCTTTTTCTTTCTTTCTTTCATTTATTTATTTTTGGTCTAGTCTATTTTTTTTTATGTTGGCAAGCTTTTTTATTTTATGAAAAAATAAAATCCCACAACAGTATAGTAAAAGAATAACAATAGTTACTACACTGCATATCATTATCTGAAAAGTAGCTACACAAAGTACAAAACATAGAAAGAAAGACTTAACAAAGAAGAAACAAACAGATAACACAAAACTTGGGCCAGGGATTTAGCTCAGTGGTTCTGCCATCTGCCTCATAAGCGCAAGGTCTTGAGTTTGATCCCCGGTACCAAAAAAAAAAAAGAATAACACAAAACTTTCTTTCCAATGAATTAAGAGAAACTAGCAGTATAAATGAAATAAATTACCATATATATTAAAGTATTTTTGAAACAATGGAATTGGTAATTTGGAGAATTATTTAAACTTCTCCCTATTTCTTATTTATCTGTCTTCTGTCTTGCTATTTGTATATATATTTTTTGAGCTTCTCATATAAAAGAAACTATGCAATATTTAAGTTTGTGTGTCTGATTTATTTCACTTAACATTATGTTCTCAAGTTGCATCCATTTACCTACAAACACTTCCCAACTAATATTTAATAACAATTTCATATATAATAAATTACAAAAATAGCAGTCCATTAAGAACTTTATAATTTTTAAGTAGTTACTTTCACCCAGTTAAGGACTTGATAGTGGTGTTTTTCACTGTTAATTGAACATTTTTTTTTTTGCATCAACTATTTGCCAAACAAAATTCTAGGTCCTAGAACAATAAACAAAGTAGACAAATTTTTTGTACTCACAGAACACACATTCTAGAAAGGAGAGAAGGGTGAATTAGATACATAGATCATACCTTTGAGGTAAAATCTGATTGAATTTTGATAGGCACTCACCGGCTAGTAATATTGAGATTTTAAGTAAGAGGTCTAAGTGATTTTTATAGGACAAAACTTATTCTTACAACTTTATCAGGTGTTTTTTTGTTTTTTCCGGTACCAGGGATTGAACTCAGGGTCTTGCACTTCCAAGGCAGGCACGGTGGCAGTGAGCTAAATCCCTGGCCCCTTGTAAGGTGTATTTTATTACCTTTCTATAAATGAAGAACTAACTCAGGATAACTTCCAAAAATCAAACAGCTCAGTGGAAGAGTCCCTGCCTAGCTTATCCTGGGTTCAATTCCCAGGATCATGAAGGGAAGTGGGGATTAGCTTCAAAAAAATCACTCATGGGTTGACACAAGAAGAGAATACAAAAGAAATTTTATGATGACATTTCATGTTTAAGCCAGACATTTTCTGCTTGGATGAATAAGGCAGGACTTGGTTGTATCTTAAAAAGTTTCACAGAAAGAGAGTTCAAGCATGAGTACACAGACTGCCCTCTGATGTTAAAATGAAGCAAACATGGGACTGTCCCCAAATTAAAGACCTCCCCACAATATACTGTTTGGATTGTAGAAGACATTGAGCCCAAAACTGTTCAACATGCAGGTACATGATGGTCAGCTAAAGGAAATCATTATAAAATGTGAATACATGAATAAGAAGGAAAGATAGAGAAAGGAAGTAGGGAGGTCTTTTGCAAATGGTAAGGGGACCAAGAGATGGGGGGTAGTTAAGATGTGTAACATACAGTACATATACCAACTCCCCATAAGGAATGTGATCATTATGTACTACAAACATGTACTAATAAAAAATAAAAATTGAGAAAAAGAAATGTAACAAGGAAATTAAAAAGGACACATAACTATCATTGTTTTATGTGATAATCCTTCATAAAATCATCCTTGCAGGTGGAAATGAGCAGGTGGATGGTACAGCCAGTTGGAGAATGTGGGTGCTGATAACCTCCACCTGGTGATCCTCTCAGACTGTATTTTACATTCATGTGATTTACTCAAGACCCCAGCTGAGACACAACTTCTGTTCTTACACTGTAGGAGTGGAGGCTGCCTGGCCATGGCAGGATCAATGGGACCAGTTTTGATTAAATAAATGCCTGTTTAGGCATTTAAATTTAAATAAATCTGTTCAGGATTTCATACAAATATTAACCTCATTTTAAAACCTCAATGAAAACTATCACCCAAATTCAGGACTAATTTAATTTTTAGGAATAGAACAAACAGTTAAAAAACCCTCCACACGAACACTGCTGTTTAAAAAGTTTCATTGTTAGAGACACAAAGGTCCTCAAAGCTGACAATCATCCTTCCTCATCGCTGCTGCTCCAAGCACCTTCAAAGGCTGGATTTAACCGTGACTTGGTTTTAGTCTCATCTTCCTCAGGAAGTGGTTCATGTAAGAATGGTAACCAGGCAAGAATACTGCAGTCTCTGCTACCGCTATAAAGTTCCTGGAAATTTGACTGAAATACACAGCAGTCAACACTTTTATAATGTCCCTTAAGCATAGTTATCTGTTCTCCTGAGTAAACTGTATAAACAGCAATGGTGCTACCATATGGGACAAAAACAAATTCTGAACTGCAGCCACAGGAAACAGTGAATTTCAATCCTTTTTTACTGTTGTTACAAACTTTTCCATAGTTTACTAGTGTATTTTCTCCATTGGAACTATTCCAGACCCTCATTCAATATCTGCACCAACAGTTAGGAGGTGAAGCCCATCGCTTGTAAAACATAAGCCATTAACTTTCCCATTATGAGCAGTGTTTGCTGACTCAGCAGCTTGTGACTTTTCTCCACTATTTTGATCAAGAGTAATCAAACATCTTGATGCTCTCCTCATATTCCATAATTTTACTCTACTGTCAGCACTGGCAGTTGCCAAGATATAATCATATCGTGGTGACCAGGAAACTGCCAATATTTCTTGTCTGTGACCCTGTAGAATGTGTGAACAGGATCCAGATTTTAAGTCACAAAGTTGTACTTTGGGTCCTCTAGTACCAGCTGCTACTAAACAGTGCTTGGTGGCAACTGGAGACATATGATGACTATAAACTGTTTCCTCAAAATTAAATACATCTGCAGTTTGTAATGTATTTGTATCCCATACTTTCAGAGTTTTATCAAATGAGCTTGCTGTAAACATGCCTGTGTCATGAGGATACCACTGAACAGTCTCCACACTGTATTTGTGAACATCAGGATGGTTTTTGCCAATGGGGCACACTGCTTTACCTGTATAATAAGGTTGTCTGCTGGAGTTCTCAAGGTCATAAAGTACAATCACACCATCTGAACCACCTGATAACATGTATCTCCTTTCAACAGGTTCAATGTCAAGGGTGTTAACTCCACTACTGTGGATTCTTTCAACATCTCTGTCTTTGTTTAATTCCAGTCCCAAAACCCTCCATGTGGACTCTGCTCTCCGGAAGCGACAAGGGTCCTCCAAACCTGCTTGTCGTGCGAACAAAAAGCTAGAGTTCTTTCTTTGTTGTTTGCTTGCCATCCCCTCCCCGTTAAGATAGATATGGTCTCTATATAGCCCAGGCTGACCTGCCTCAGCCTTCTGAGTGCTGAGATTACAGGTATGGACCACCACTCTAGGCAGTAAAGATTTCAAATTCTGAATCCAGGAACTGGGGATATAGCTCAATGGTAGACCATGTGCTCTGGTTTGAATATACTCAGCACCACAAATAAAAACATACATACATACAAAATTCAGGATACATCCTACAGAGTAACATTTGTAAATAACTCTAATACAATGGGTAAGTGTGAATATCAAGATGAATAAAGTAGTCATAAGTATTCTGTGAGTAAATGTTATCATCTGATTGATAAATAAGTTTTCCAAAGGCTGGCAGAGCAAAACTGGTCATGGTAGTGCACACCTGGAATCCCAGCTCCCACAGTCTCCCATCTGGGAGACCGAGGCAGGAAGATTCCAAGTTCAGGCCTAGCCTGAACAACTTAGTGAGATACTGTCTCAAAGTAAAAGATAATAAAGGGGGCTGGGGATTTAGCTCAGTGGTTCCGGCGCCTGCCTCGCAAGCGCAAGGTCCCAAATTCAATCCCCGGTACCAAAAAACCCCAAAAAATAATAATAATAAAGGGCTGGGGATGTAGCTCACTGCAAAGAACCTGAGTTCAGTAGAGAGGGAAGGAAAACAAAAGAAAAAGAGCAGAAACAGCCTTCTCATTAGCATTTTCCCACATACAATATCCTTTCTCCTCTACAGAAAGCAGAATTATGACTATATATTATTCCTTGACAGCATCCATACTTCAAGTCAGAACATGTACCTCAATCTATCCATGTCCTTGTCACACCTATTTCTTTCACTAATATTTCCACCAATCTCAACTCCAGACATTTTGACCAATACCCTCACTGGTTTAGACTCTTCAGGATATCAGAATCTCAGTATCCTTGCTTTGTTTTCTCTTCCCTCACTTTTACCCCTCTCCACACTGTTATGAAGTCACTCCAGTCCTCAAGCTGTACCTGGCTGAGTTTCTAATCATACATCATGCTCACAGGTATTTATAGTTACTTGGTATCTTTTCCACATCTTATGTACTTTCCTCTAAATAAAGTTACTTGCTTCCATAATTGATTTCTTTCCCAGCTTTCTTTCACCTACAACATGGGCACATAATCTAGGATCAACCAATACAATGAATACAGATTCAACGATGCAAGAAGAGAGCACACTGTGATGGTGGAGGAGCACCACCTTGAACACCTTCAATCAGAACTACCATGCTCATTGTTCAGAAACTGAAAGATGTCACTAAACTTATGCTATAGTATGGATTTGGATATGACTCTGGCTGCTGCTTAGTTTTTCTTGTTCCAGATTATTTCCTGAGCCTGGTGAGATTCTGTGAACTAACCAATATCCTTCCAATGAATTCCTTTCTACTTAAATCAGCTTTCTTTAATTTTGGTTGTTTTTGAGGTGCTGGGAATTGAACCCAAAGCCTCATGCATGATAACGCTTTACCACTCAACCACATCCCCAGATCCCTTAAATTAGCTCTCTATTGACTTAACTAAGAACCTTTATGGTGATCAAGTTAAAATTGATTTTTATTTGTAGTATATAGTCTTTATTGTATATAGTTTTTATTATAGAACAAAAAGAATAAGCTTGAACATTAGTGAGGCAGATTTTGTTTTTTGGGGGGTACCGGAGATCGAACTTGGGACCTTGCACTTGCACTTGCAAAGCAGACGGCAGAACCACTGAGCTAAATCCCTGGCCCGAGGCAGACTTGCTTTTGTTTTGTATTGGGCCTGATTTTAATCATACATTTTTGTATTAGGCATAAATGTATGCTTTTCAAGCACAATGTTTTAGATTAAACATTTAGGCTTCTTCAATTATAGCAATTATGAAAGGTAGGATGTTGAAAAGATTCATGAGATTCCACAAGTTAATACTTAAAAAGACTTTATCGCTTCTCAGCCTTTTGGCTAAGATCAAGTGTAATACTTAAAAAGACTTCAATACAGACAAAGGCTACAATATAGTATGAGAAAAAACACAATATAACAAAATACAGGTAAATATCAAGATAGTCTGAGACATGCAGGTATGAATTCTGGGGATCTTTTTTATTTGCTGTTTCAGACACAGATTTAAATTTCTGGCTGTGCAACTTGCTAATGGTCATCTAATCTCAAATGTGTAACAATTACTATATATGAAGGAGGTATAATAACACCAATCTCAGTATGTTGTGAGGATGGACCGAGGTAATATACTCCAAGTATCTGACCTTCAAATGACTGTCGTGAGGCTAAAACCTGGTCTTTTTCCAGGATTCTTTAGCTCAATTACTAGCATCACCTTCCATTAAACTGCAAGAGCCAGGAACTAGGAATTATCTTTACACTTTCCCTTCTGATCCATTAACAGACTGGTGGACTATCTTCCTAGATATCTCTAAAATTATTTCTGTCTTTTCATCTTGTCTTTGGTACTACCCTAATGCAAGGTACTGCTAGGGCTACCAAAACAGTCTCCCAAAACTAAATCCCTCAGTCTCTTCCTGACCATTCCAATTCATGATTAAACTATAATCAGTGTGATACAGTGAAATCATAAATCTGACCCTTTGAAACACTTCACTGGAGCCAGGCATGGTGGCAAGTACCTATAATTCCAGCACTCAGGAGGTCAAGCCAGGATTTCCTGGGCTACAAAGAGACCTCAAGGGCAGCCTGAACTACATAGCAAGACCTTGTCTCAAAGAAAAATAAAGCAAAACAAAACAGACACTTCACTGGTTTTCCACACAGTACTGCCCAGTGAAGCCTCTAGCATCCCAGCTACAGCATAGCATGCCACACTCTGCCCCACCCTTCCCACTCTTCTCTGTGCTCTGAAGACTAGGGTGCTCACTTCCTACCACCAAAAAGGGCCCCTACCTGGAACTCTCTTCCCCTCAAAACACATTCTATAGATCTTTCAGATCTGAGATCACATAACACTTCCTCAGAGAACCCTTCCTCCCCCTTCAAACTAGAGCAAAATCTCTCCTCTAACTTACACCTCTGAAAGCCCCTTGTATCTTCATAGCCATGATCAGAACTGCATTACTTAAGTATTTTCAGATCATCTATGCTTTCCACCAAAGCATAAGTTCCACAATGGCATGTCATATATTCCTATCCTGTTGCACAGTAATATAGTAGATAACCTTGTTAGGTCATTCATAATAACACAATGTGCAGGATATGACAGATCATCAATAAATATAAGCTTCCCAGAATTTAGAAAACATTTTACTCATCTCAAATATAATATATGATTAGTCCTCTATATACTCAGGATCTGCATCCATGGATTCAACCAAATAGGGATCAAAACTATTACCAAAAAATGCAATTGTACTGAACATGACAGTCTTTGTTTCTTATCAGTATTCCCTAAACATTACAGTATAACAACTATTTGTATAGCACTTACATTGTATGAGGTATAAGAGGATGTACATAGGTTATAGGCAAATGCTATCATAATTTACATAAAGGACTCAAAAATTGTCACATTTTTGTGTCCACAGGAGCCTTGGAACCAATCCTCATGGACACCAAGGCATAACTGTTATTATATAATTACAAATATAAAATAACAAATATTCCTTACTTACCGGAATTCCTTGTAACTGTGGCTTATCTAGAAGATTGTGTAGTTCATTGCGAGAGGCTTCTATCTTGTCACGATCTGCAGCATCTATCATGTAACTTAAAAAAAAAATCTTTTCCATATGCCTTGATGAAAACTAGGATTATAGATTTTTACTTAAGATTTACATTATTCAAATTGTTAATCAAAATAAAGTCCTAGATAAAGAAAAGCTCAGCATCTATAGTTTCAGCTAGATTGTTCACAGAGCTAATAAGACATATCCTGTAGCCTTTAGCTATAAACAAAAATCATAAAGCTCTCATTCTATGATTAACTTTTTAAACCTAATGTTAGAATTACATAAAGAAATTAGCAAAGAAATACTTTTATTGCCTGAGATAATGATTGAGACTTCGGAAGTATTAAAAATTTTTTTCTTGAAAGCCTAACTTAAAAAACAAACATACAAAAAGAAGCTTACACAATAGCATTGACTCCTCTGCAATACCGTTCCCACATGCTCCGGAATCGGGGCTGTCCGCCTATGTCCCAGATCTTTAAATCAAGAAAGACAATTATTTGTTTTGTTTTGGTACCAGGGATCAAACTCAGGACCTTGTGTGAGACAGGTGCAGTGCCACTGAGCTAAATTCCCAGCCCAAGAGAGACAATTATTAATAAAAATACTTCAAGTCATTCACTGGAGGAAATACCAGAAGAAAGGGAAGGAAGATATATTTAACTTCACAGTGTTAGAGCCAAAGTGCTCCTAAAAACTTGAGCTCAGGGGAAGTAAAAAGGATTAAAATGCACTATGTACATGTACAACTTACCATAATGAGTCTATTCATTATGTATAACAAACATGTATAAATAAAAAATAACTTGAGCTCAAACAAACTCTTAATTTGGGAATTTGTGTGTGTCTGTGGGTACTGGGGATCAAACTCAGGACCTTGAACTTGCCAGGCAGGTATGGCACCACTGAGCTACATCCCCAGCCCTAATTTGGGAATTCTTGAAACATTTCTAATTTGAGGTACATATTTAATATGCTTATACTAGATTTAAAATTCAGCTTCAAAAAATAAAATAAAATAAAATGCAACTTCAGCAGAGACTTGGTTTATGTGCAATACTTTCTAAGCTTGTTAACCACTATACTTCTAATGCTGAAAATACATATTTTAAGATAATTTTTTGTTTTGTTTTGCTTTGTTTTCTGAGACAGAGTCTCGCTGTGCAGTGCAGGCTGGCCTTTAACTCACTATGTAGCCCAGGCTGGCCTGGAACTTCAGGCATCCTCCTGGCTTAGCCTCCCAAGTACTGGGATTTCAGGCATGCCCCACCTTGTCCAGCTCTTTAAAATAATTTAAAAATCTACAGAACCAGGCATCAGCCAGATTTGAATGCCAAAAAAACCAAAAACAAAAAAAACAATAGTTCAGAGATTTTTTTTTTTTAAGTTTAATTCCCTGACTTGGTGTACATTAACACCCAATCTTTTTAAATTATCACATAAAAAGTCAACATTCCTAACTAGATATTTTCCAGAATAATTTCATTACCATGCCTATTCTGCTGGGCACCATGCTGGATACTAGGCTACATAAAACTCATTAAATCATGATATTTATTTTCAAGGTTTCCAATTTAGCCATAGACACCAGTAATATGTATGACACAAAACTAAATTAGGTGTTTCATCAGAAAAGCCATTGAGCTTAGTGAACAAATTGTGTGAACTCCAAGGATCAGCCCACATGGTCATTATAGCAGAGGCCACATGAACTACAGAACCAAAACAACAACAATAACCACAATAAACAAGTAAAATTAGCCAGGCGTGGGGGGGCACACACCCTGGGAAGTTGAGGCAGGCATATATCAAAAGTATGCCTGAGCAACTTCACACTTAGCAAGACCCTGTGTCAAAATAAAAAATGTTTTAAAAGGCTAAGAAGGATGTAGATGAGTGTGAAGGCACTGCCCCCATATAGAAAAGGCAAAACATTTCTCCTTACAAATAGTTCAAAAGTCCAGGACTTATACCTATTAAACTTGTTATAAAAGGAAAACTACAGCATGTTAAAGAACTAGCTTTTTCCTATTTTATAGTTTCCATTTAAGGCTTAGTAGTAAAAAACAGAGGTGCGGGGACTGGGTCACAGTATTTGCTACCACAAATATAATAAACTACCAATATTATAATTATTACTTTTCAATATAAACCATTAATCATGAAATAATGTAATATTACAATCCAAACACCCTAAAGATGGAATCTATTTTAGATTTTTCTTTTGCATTACTGTGGATTGAACCCATGGCTTATGTATAAGTTATAGCCAGCCATCTTTTTTTTTTCTTTTAAAGACAGGGTTTCAATGAGTCACTAAATTATCCAGGCAGGACTCAAACTTGTGATCTCCCTCCCTCAGCCTCCCAGAGTGCAGGAATTCTAGGTGTGAACTACCACACCTGGCTAAGATGAAATCTTTATTTCCTGAAGATATCTTCTGCTAACCCATAGGCTGTTTTTGATTTAACATTTCAACTCTTGCACATTTTGACCTGCCTATTACAAAAACAAAAATGACTGATTTACAGCCTTTTGGTACATACCTATTCATTACTTAAGAACTGCAAACAATGTTTTAGTAAAATCAGGGAAACAGATTTTCGAGCTGTATGTGGTAATAATTAAAAACGAGTATGAGAAGAAGCCGACAAGAAGCTGACGTACCTTTATTGTGACGTTACCTTTTGTTACTTTCCTCATGTTGAAGCCCACTGTAGGTATCATATCTTCACTGAACTGACCCGACTATAAACAAACAAAACATTTCAAGTTAGATTAATCAATATTCATAGGGAGCCATGAAGCTACATAACACTTTAGCATGTATGTTGCTTTTGTATTCACATTAGTAAATAGCTTTTCTTTTTTGGTACTGGGGATCGAACTCGGGTTTTGTGCCTGTGCAGCAGGCGGCGAAACCACTGAGCTAAATCCCCGGTCCCAGTAAATAGCTTTTTAATGATGGTAACAATCTACTTAGAGAAAATGTTCCACATAGCCATAATTCTTAAAAACATTATAGTATTTTGTTCATATAAAAACATATTCTCCCATATAAAAAATAACATTTTGGAAGTGAGATAATTTTTTATAGAAGTCTGGCACAGGCATGATGGCACACGCCGCCTTTAATTCCAATACTCTGCGGAGGCTGAGGCAAGGGGACCTAAAGTTTGAGCCCAGCCCAGGCAATTAAGCAAGGCTGGTCTCAAGATAGGTAGGTAGATAGGTAGGTAAGATAAGATAAAAAAGATAGCTGGATATTTGGCTCAGTTGGAAAGCCCTGGGTTTAATCCCCAGTACCACCAATAAATAAAAAACATTTTCTATTGCAAATAATTATGAAAATTTATAAATGCTCCCATGTACACACATTTTTATGTAGAGGAGAAAGTCAGAAGTAAAACTTCAGTTTTCTATTTCAAGCATTTAAACCATTTTGACAATAAATGCTAAAGCCCACTGTTGAACTATTTTTCTAAATTTGTCTTTTAATAAAGCTTATAAAACACTCTGTCATGAAGTTCTTCCTTTCATGTAACCAATTTTGTTCTCTTTTTGGTTTCCAACTCAATGTCCTAAGGCAAAAATTCAATATTATATAATAGTATTTGTATAAATTTGCACACTTAAAATGTTTCATCAATCTAAAGTTTTATTATAAACCTGAAGTTCACTTCTAAACTGAAAATTAATCATTCTACCACTAATTTAAAAATCCATTCTTTCCCAACTAATTAGGAGTGATAGGCTAAACACCATATATAGAAAGCTCTAATCTGGGTCAATTCCTTTCCATTAGTCTGTTAATTTCTGAACAAATATGAGGTTTGTTATTTTAGCTGGCACTAGTTGTTATTCTACATAGCACACCAGGAATTTGAAATGCTGTCAAATTGTCTTGATTCATTTCCCACATTCCAAATAAACTTCAGAAATCAATAATTTTGTTACCAACTGAAATTATACTAAATGTATTAATTTGAGAAGAACTGCCCTTTATCAACTTTTTTTTTTTTTTTTGGGGACCAGGGATCAAACTCGGGACCTTGGGCTTGTGCGGCAGGCAGCAGAACCACTGAGCTAAATCTCCCGCCCCTTTATCAACTTTTAATAGTAACCACTATCAAGTCTCTCCATCTAGGCATGTGGTTTGTCATAGGCACATTCCAATCTTTTATAGTTTTCAGGAATGTATCATAATTCCCATATGTCTTACAAATTTCTGGTCATATTAACTTCATGCTATTATAAACTACATCTTCATGACCCACAGTTAGTACCAAGTTCACTTACTAGCCACTTTACCAAATATTAATTTCTCAGTTGATCTGACTTGTTTTTTGGGTTTTTTTGGCACCAGGGATCGAACTCAGGACCTTGCACTTTCGAGGCAGCAGAACCACTGAGCTAAATCCCCAGGCCATCTGACTTGTTTTTAAAGTAAGCAGCCAAGGATTAACAAGGACCTCAACAAAGAACCCCAGCATTTTCTAAAAATAGGACTTTTTTTTTTTTTTGAGACAGGGTCTCACTATGTAGTTGAGACTGTCCTTGAACTCACTGCATAGCCAAACTGGCCTCAAACTCCCAGCAATCCTTTTGCCTCAAACTTCAGTGCTGGGATTACAGGCATGAGCTGCCCACGGCTAGCAAAAATAGGGCTATTTTTAAGGAACTGTGCAAACAAATAAAACTTTTTATTCCAAGGTCCTAACAAAATGGCTGGTTGTTCACGGTGATCTTATGCTTGCCACACATGCATTCCGTAATTATACGTCCTAAGTACACTGAATTCTCATTTTATAAATTTCCCCCACAGAACTCCAAAAGTTCTCTCTCCTGGCCCCAGTGGAGTTTTGGTTGAGTTCAGAAGAAAAGGTTATCACAACTACTGGTATAATCACCACTTTCACTTCTATTGGACATTACAGTTCTCAGAATTTTCATATGCATGATTTGTATGTAAAAATCTAGTCATGAAATCAAAACTAGATACATCAAAATGAGTTAGAAGATACAGAAATGGCAAATGAAAACTGTTCAACATCACTAATCATTAGGGCAACACAAATCAAAGAAATTTTGTGTGTATATGTTTATGACAGCATTATTCACAAACAACTCAAATATCCATGAGCAGATGAATAAATAAAATATGATACATGTATAGAATGGAACATTATTCAGCCTTACATGACCAGGTACTTAGCATGCATGAAGACCTGGGTTGAATTCTCAATACCAAAAATAGAAAAAAAGAAAAAGAACAGTTATGGCCAGAGGCTAGGACGGAAAAAAGATTAAAGAGTCACCATTAGTGAATCCAGTTTCAAAGGAGAATTTCAGAAGATTAAAAAAAATGTGTAAGCTGGAGCTGGGCCTGGTGGTGCATGCCTGTTATAACAGCACTCTGCGAGGCTGAGGCAGGAGCTGATTTCGAGTTTAAGTCCATCCTAGGCAACTTGGTGAGTGTTAACATATATATACACACTTTTTAAAGCTGGACACGTAGATCAATGTAAAGGCCCTGAGATCAATCTCCAGTACTTCAAAAATAAAAGAACAACAACAAACCCTTCTAAGATAGTTGTGGAGGCACATGCCTGTAATCCCACTGACTCAAGGGATTAAGGCAAGAGGATCATGAGTTCAAGGCCAGCCTAGACTATATAATGAGATTCTATTTCAAAAAACAAAAATAAAAAAACTCAAAGATAATTTAAACTTTAGGACAACTGGACAATTTTTGCAAAATACCTACCCATTGTGCTACTTGAAAATGAGTCAAGATATCTAAATTTCCGTCCCAGCTATGCTACTTTCAATTACACAGATAATAGAGAACTTTAACAAACCCCCTCATTCAGAATATAAAGATGTTGTCTCCTCTTTCCTTTTACCTGCTTCTCCTATGTGCCTATACCAGCTAATTTCCTCCATCACCTCAAATGTTTACTGTTTCCTTCACTCTACTTTTCTTCTTTTCCAAGTCTCAAAAGCCAACACAGACAGGAATTTCTGCTGGCTTTAAAAAAAAATAGTGCCTTCTTTTCATCTATGAGGCAAACAGACCCACTCAAATCAATAAGGTATACTTAACTCTTAACCACTGTATTGTTCCACACAAACCAATCAAGCATTTCCCATTGATAAGTGCACCACTCCTGAAATGTCAGGCTCCTGGAAAGCAAGGCTCCATGTGTTAGTAGTAAATTACAAGTGGTGGTGGTGCTAGTGCACCACCCTTTCTGGTGAAGTAGGTGGTGGCACCATTGAGCTAAATCCACAGCCCTGTACCACCCTTTCTTGATGCTGTTTAGATTATGATAATTTTATAAGCAAATCAGTTTTAATGGTTTTCATCCACCTTACAATGACAGGGAATGGACAGCTTATTTAGCAAGTTAGTGGTTAAGTTTTACTTATACCATCAGGTTATATAATACCTCAAACAGTAGAAACGTAGATTCTAACATGGTGGGTTTTGAATGAAACCACTGAAACTGACTGAAAAAACTCATTATGTTTTCTTTGGTATTAGGCTACAAAAATGAGTAAATCAGACAAAATTCTCTAGATAACTTTTTGGGGGGGGGGGGTACCGGGGATCAAACTCATGACCTTGCGCTTGTGAGGGAGGCATGGTGCCACTGAGCTAAATCTCCCCAGCCCTCTAGATAACTTTTTATGAAACGTAATGGTGTAG